GAATCAATAAAAATCTAATAATAAAAGTTCAGAATCTGATGTTTTCATTAGTAAATTCTAACAGGCATTTTAAGAGGATTTAATACCAATCCTTCTCAAACTCTTCCAAACGATAGAGGAATAAAACTCCCTAATAATTTTATGAAGCCAGAATTACCGTGACAACAAAGACATCATAAAAAAGGGAAACTACAAACAAATCCCTCATGAATACGATGCAAAAATTCTCAAATACTAATAAATTGAAGCTAACTGAATATTAAAAGATTATACATTCTGATCAAGTGGTTATTTATCCATGAGTACACTGTGACTCAACCTAAAGTTATCAACCAATGTAATAACATATTAATCAAACAGGGAAAATATGTTTTTCTCTCTTTAAAAAAATTTTTTTTAATTGATTTCAGAGAGGAAGGGAGAGGGAGAGACAGATGGAAACATCAATGATGAGAGAGAATCATTGATCGGCTGCCTCCTGCACGCCCCCTACTGGGGATTGAGCCACAACCCGGGCCTGTGCCCTGACCAGGAGTCTGAACCATGACCTCCGGGTTCACAGGTGATGCTCAACCACTGAGCCACGCCGGCCGGGCTGTTTTTCTCAATTGGTCTTTGTCCAGGCCAGACACAGCACCCTCACCTCCAGGGGTTCTGGTTCTGCGGGGTGTGAAGGGGAGCCCTTGGGGAGCACAGGGAAGAATGGAAGAAATGGGGGAGCAAGTCGTGGAGGAGACTGGAGGGAAGATGGACCGAGTAGGAAGCCGCCCGAGGAGGTCCCGCCCGTGGTAGCCTCCGTAGCCTCCTGCCCTGAGAGGAGGGCGGAGGGTGGGAGACTTACAGGATGGCGAAGCAGAGGTGGCACTCCCCGTTGTAGGTGATCCGGTCGCTGCCGCAGACGGGCTCGCTTGGCTTGATGTAGGAGACGAACCAGCACCGGTTGATATTGTTGATGCAAACGACCTGGAGGTGAGAGCCAGACACTTGTGGGTGCCTGCACCCAGGTCCCCCGGCTGTTCTCACTGCCACTGGGGGAGGGAGTGTCACCCCGACCGTGGCTGTTAGTGTTGGGGGGCGGGGGTAATCTGATAGATAGAATAATCCTATTATTTTACAATCTTAGAACACATGTACTTCTATGAATAGGGGATTCAGTTTCTTATACGTGAATAGGGGGTACGTTTTTCTTGTTTCCTTTCCAAGGCCTGTGCCAAGCGATGGAGGAGGTGACTCAGCTGTGACTGCAGCAAGTAGAACTGATAAGCACGGTCAGACCGAC